GTGAAAAGCCTGATCAGGATCCATCAGCGTCTATTGAGAATAACTCTTTCAAAACATCCACTTCACTCGGGCGTTTGCGTGTATACAGCACTATTAACCCAACAACAACAGCACCCCATCAGTCAGCCGCCCCTTCTCCAAATAAGGTAATTAGAGTAGAGAAACCGGAAGACTCTCCATGGAAACTCACTCACAAACAGCACGAGCGAAAAACAATAGAGCAGTGAGGATGAGATGATTGACAGCTCGTGGCGGCTCTCGCTTCCTTTGACTGCATCCATGAATGTTTACAACACGGGAGCACGCGCAGATATACTCAATTTCATCCAAGCCTTCGTTGTTACAGATTTTTTTTTAAGGAGCATTAAATATATCTCTTCCCACCGCGCCACCCTAAAAACGCATATTTAAACAATAAATTAGCTAAAGCTTTAACCAAATAACACCGAGTCCAGTTCATTACACTTCAGACGAGCACCTGCTCATGTCAGGAAACACAGCCCGCGGGTTATTGTGAGCTTTCCTGATGTTAATTGACATTTTTGTCACACCCGCCTCCTGCTGAGAGAACAGGATAAAACTTACGAGATAATAACAGAGCTGTATTCTGGTTACCTCAGTTTCTCCCGGTCATCGTTGCTCCCGCAGGCGAAGTGACTCCCCGTTGTGATGAGCAGTACTCCGAGCCTCACCGCGAACGCCGTTATTTTTGCCTGCAAGTTAGCCTAGCTGCTGCAGGGAGAGCCTACTACTCTCACAACCTGCCAAATCTCTCAAACTGGAGTTGGCAGGTTGCTGTCGGCGCGTCCCTTTAGTCGCTCCACATGCAGCTGGAAAAAGAAAAAAATAATAACAAGCAGTAAACCTAACCTAATGGGCTTTGAAGTTATTGGATGCACTCGAAGCGGCTAATAAATACGTTAATTAGAGACTGCGAAGTTGTATTCTAGTGTATGAAAGGCAGAGCAGCCTTTATCCCGCTCATCCACAACAGTGCTGGATGCTGTCGGTCACAGCGAGTGTCTCCGCCCCATTCAAACTACTATTGGAGGAAAATTAACCTTATTCGATTATTCATAAAAAGACTTGTTACTTTAAGTGAATTTACTCCTGTTATTACGTTTAAGTTTTTCTGTCAGTGAATTAAAAAAAATACTATTTTTTTAAACCTTCCATTAAATTTCATAAAACTCTATATCAATTTTTCATTTTATTTTATTTTATTTCATTTTATTTTATCAGTTTCATCTTGCATTTCTCTGTAGGCTTCTCCTGTCTATTGATATGACATGATTGATGTCAATACTACATCGTGAAGCCCGCGGGAATACAAAAAAGACGTCTACAGAATATTTTTCAAATTAAAAGTGTTCCCTATTTGGAAAAATGCTACCCTGTACTACAGTCTATGTGTTAAAACAAATGACAATAAAGTTTTCAGTTATATTGTATTGTGAGGCATAATCATGTTAATAAAATAAACCCTGTTTGCCAAGCCGTTTTTTCCTTAAATAATTGTAACATAAAACACAGTTCTGACACGAATGCTCTTATTTTGAAAATAACGTTACCTAAACCGGAAACCTCATTGCTTCCGTTTATTGCGAGCTTGGCTGTTCGTGTTTTGTAAAATGACCAATCATACTGGAATACTGAGCATATGCGCTTGTTTTACGTATGTAAAATGCAGAAGCGGGCGGGGTTAAGGTCACGTCACAGATAATAATCGGTCACGTCGGATTTCTAGCCTTATGAAACGACTGAAGACACAAATCGAGGTCACTCTTTGTGAGTACTTCCTTTTAGCTGTCAACACCGAGTGTTGAGGGGTGGTGAGTACAAGTAGCCGACACAACAGCAGTGTAGAAAACCGATAAGCCAGATGTCATTTGTAGTATATTGTTTCGCACACAGCTAAGTTTGGGTAGGTAGCTAAAGTTTGCTGGGTCTGTGTCCTCGTTATACTGTTAACTATTACTAAGCTAACGTTAGCTAGTTATGTGTAGGTGAAGTTATCCTGGAACTAATCGTTCAACTAACCATATTACTCGACTAATATTTTGTCTGTGGATATGCTACTAAGCTAGTTCGTTGCTGTCTATCAAATATTAATGTCCTGCGACGATGCTAGTCGCTCGTGTCCTCGTAGCATTCAAAATGTGTAGTTGATGTCAACTGTGACAAGTTGTCACAACCCTCTAGCTTCATAATACCAGCTGATTATTGGGGTCGGACTAGCGAGTCATTAAATGCCATTGTGACATATGGCTAAGTTTACGACTCTACTCAATTGCTACCTTTGCACTCATCACAGTTAGCATACTGTAGCTGAATGACTTGTATCCCAGTCCTTCTGAATATGGTTCAGGACATGACCACACAATATACTGCAAAGACTGTAATAAAATATGATTAGCATGTTCTATAAGGGGAAACCGTTTTTCTTCCACATATAAACTAGGTGCTGAGTGAACGCAGACAGAGAAAAACACTTTTGGGTGCTGTGTTCTAAGTCTGGAAACAATTGTATTCAGAAAGTTTTCAGAACTTTATTCGCCTCAAAATGACGAAATAAAAACGTAGAAAATATGTTAATTAAGAAAACGTGAATATCACATTAACCTTGTTTTATTAGAGGTGTGTCACCTGGGATATATTTCCAGGCTTATACATAGATGTTTGTATTTAATTTACAAACTGTCGGTGGAATAAATCATGAGTCTGGGTGGGGATCCCCTTGGCAGGTTGAACGTCTTTGCCAACTGCAGTAGTCTATATTGTCTATTTTCTGGTCACTCACTCTTGGCGCTTTCAGGCGATGAGAGGACTTGGTTTCCTCAGGTTAGAAATCTTTTTTCTCATAGTCTGATATGAGGAACCTCCTTCTGCCTGCCATCTGGGCCATAAACCCGATATCATTGGAGTACTGCAGTGATGAGCGTCCTTCTGAAGGTTCTCTCATCTCCACACAGAATTTCAGTAAGAACAACCACTGGGTCACTTCTACTAAAGTCCCCGCTCTTTTGGTTGATTGGATGGCCTGCTAGTTCAAAAGTTTCAAGAGTCCTGTTTATTCCAAACCGCTTTCATTTAAGAAATATAAACTCCATTCTGTTCTTTGGAATTTTCCCTGCAGCAAAATGCTTAGCATGCTTTGCAATGCTGCACTGTTTCTGATCACTGCAGGAATTCTGACTTGGCCTGGTTTTTGCTTTGACGTGCATCATCAGTCATGAGACTTTATATAGGCAGGTGCCTTTCCAAATCTAGTCTGGTTAATTAAATTTACCACAATTTATCAGTCAAGATTTTGAAACACTTCAAGGGAAATCAAGAGAAATAGGAGTTAAAGTACACAAGGAGGTTTTTTTTTTCATTAGTCATTTTTGTTTTTGCTGTGATATCGCAAGGTGTGGGAATTAGATTGTGTGTTTTCTTTAAAGGGTATTCAGAATAACTCCTTCTATATTCTTCTCTTTGTCAGGTATGGCTGAGATTTAGAGGCAGATGTGAACCAAGTGAAAGCCCTGCCATCAATCCCCAGCACATCCATGTGTATAATTTTCTTCAAGTTTGACCCCCGGCCTGCATCCAAAAATGCCTACAGGTAAGGCAGTTAAGTCATACATTAAATATACAAGGACTTGAAGCAAGTTCTTGATAAACAATAGAGCTGTCTCATATGACTGTAGGTAATAAAGCAAAAACAAGGTAAGCACAAAAAACAGATATCAGCAAACCCTCTCGAGGCATTGTCAGCCACAGAACTGCACACTCTGAGCAGAGATTTTAGTATCTTGCCTAAGGACACTCCAGCAGAGACTCTAAGTGCAATATTACTCTCCTAACCTCGTAAATCAAGTGTGTAGCAGCAAGTGGAGAAACATTGTGGTTATGTTAATGTTATTGCCATCTCTGTGCGCTATGTTTTAGGGGGTGAGGTGATAAAAACTCTATAGAACATTTATGTTCTCATGCAGATTTATTATATAACTGTTTCTGCCAGTTTTAATATTTTACTTAGAGCATATTTCTCAAAATTCATAGTTAACATGCAGCTACCAAACTCTTGCAATGTTTTTTCACATCTTTGCCGGATACTTCCTGCAGCTAGGAAAGTTAGAAACAGCCTCTCTACCAATTTTATGAAAGCACTGACTCTTTGTGCAACCTCCGTGTGCCCTACCCAGCAGTAAATGCTAACTTCTTTTAGTGAACAGCACAGATCGGTGTAGTACAAGCAGTCAGTGTGAGTTACAGCCTGATGGTATGTGGAGCCCTAGCTTATTATAATCCCCCAGAGCTTGAGAGCAAGCTCTCTGCCAGGCCATTGTCCATCTTTGTCCTTCCCTCTGGGAGTCTGACCTCACCTAAGGAGATCACAGCAGAGGTGTGTTATGAGTACTGACTCAGACCTGAACCTGGGGAAAGGTGAAACGCACTGTGTCCTAATGCAGTATCATGTCTGCTATTTATAGACTGTACTGGCTGCAGAAGTCGTTTCTTTTGCTCAGGCGAATGTGTAAATCAAAAGGAATATGCAGCATACTAAGATAAAATTGGATTGAAGGCAGAATTAAAGTTTCATTAAGTGCAATTATTAAAGCGCTCACAGCACAAAATGACAGGAATGGATCTGCGGGAGTTAAATGGGTTAATATTCCACACAAATGACTCGCTGATTACCCGCATGCTGAGATCTCTGTATTCAGAAACGCAATTTCTAGTCTCCACTGTGTTTTTCTTCACCAGCTGCTCAGAACAAAAGCACTGCAGCAGTCCACCAAATAGCATTGCAGTATGATTTTGACCTGGATATATTGTATCACTTCTCATTAAGGTTAGTCATTTAAACATAATATAAAAGTGCCACTTACAATCCCTTGAACCAAAAGATGATGCTGATGTACTAAACAAACAGCATAATGGCAGCCTTTCATAGAGCTTTTGTAATAGTTCTTTACCTCATGTTGCTCATGGCTCTTTGCAAGTAAATTATAGTATATGCTAAATAGATTGGTTCTTATATAGCACTTCTGTACTCTATTTGAGCACTAAAAGAAGAATACAACATGTCTCATTCACCCCACATTCATATAAGCACTTTCTTCTATTTCTAAGTGCTTAGAAAACCACCAACCCTCTAATCAGTAAATGACCTGTCCCACCTCCTGAGCTGGAGCCACCCCTAAGCATGTATTCATGATATACGCATGTTGACACTGTAACTGAACAGCAAATAAAATGATTGATCCTCCTGGGATACGGTCACTATATACGATGGCAGCATGCCTGTTAGGTCATCACTCTGACACAACCTTAAATGTCTCGACAGCAACTAAAGATGTCCATGCTTTTGGTGACTTTCGTTATCTCCAGAGGATGATAATGAAAGTCTAGTGACTTTGGTGATTCCTTTATCTTTCTAGACCCACCATGAGGTTAACATTAACATGCCTTGGTGTAAATTTATCAAAGGCTCAGGAAATTATCCCATGAGAGCCACATGTGTTTGGATACATAAGTCACTGCGTTTGTTGAATAGAAAGAAATCAAAGTTGAGTGTCAATGAGCTTTGATAGCTCTTTCCTCACCACTGTGCCTCCTACATGATCCAGCTGGCTGACTCACGCTGTGATCCGAGCCACTTGCATGGGATTTGCCCCTCAGGATGCAAAAGCAGATGCTCTCTTCCTGTGTAGCATCATTAGTGTTAGCTTTGTTTTCAGGAGCAGTGGTGGCTCATAAAGCACCATGGAAACGGGCTGTCATTAGCCTTTGATACACAGAGGTCGACCCCTGTTACGTCATTTGGCCTTATTTGTTTGCTTTTAACAAGATGCAAGCTCCTATGTTGAAGGAATAATAGGAAGACCATTAGAAGCTTAGGAATAAAAACATACATTTGCAGGTTCTGATGCATTTCACTGGCCTCTGTGGCTTTTAATGATTTGTAATCATATGACAGAAGTCTTTACCT